GTTAAAAAGGCGGAAGAGCAGTGTGGAGAAAAGAGATGGAAATCGTGTTTGGCAGAAGGTTTTGTTTAGCATCCTGCTTTGACATACAGTACATCGTAGACAGTGTGAAAGGAGCCAATATAAACTAGACAGATTTAGACGGCACGGAAAGGGAGCATTGTACGATAGTCAGCTTTTAAACAAGGACATGTAGAGTTTGTGCTCTCCTCAAAGTACTATCGTTCATTCATTCATACACTTCATACAAATGAAGTCTTTCGAAGACTTCAGTCACAGATTTGGACTTCAATATACTTTATCAGAAACACATTTGCACTTACCACATAGACACATTTTGACACATTTTCCATAACTGAGAAAACAACGAAGACATCCTTCTTACTTCAAATTCACCTACAAGGGACGTCTAAGGACAGGTGTTGGGGACAAATGTTCAGGGAAAAAAATTGTTCAGAACAGTTAAATGTATTTGTAAATTAAGCCCCAAATCTGTAAAAAAAAAAAAAAAAACTTGTAGGTATGTGTTGCTGACACAGCTGTGTGAGAAGGTGTAAAAAAACAGAACTGCTCCAGTGTTGGAAATTTGGATAAACCTCTTAAAAACAGCTGTGGTTTTAAAGACACTCATTTATGTCTCATGCTTTATTATTAGATTTTAGTGATTATTATTACATTATACAGTTGCATATTTTAAACATTACTGACACCAGAGCAAGTGACTTCCATTATACTTCTGTCACTACTGAATTGTGAGTATTTTATACTTGTCAAAATCCATATCTGTAGTTATCCCACATATGCTACAGATGCATTTGATAAAGATTAGGCTGAAAAGCACTGGAGTGACTTCAAGGTGTAACTTGAATATGACTTAGGTTTGAGCTTTTGAAACTCATATTTTGAACTGGACTACTTGCAAACTCTGACAAGTGGAAATGAGCTTAATTACTTAAACTAAACATCTATAACTTAGTTTCTGCAATTTAATTAAGAAGTAAGTAAGTGACCTGGATTCTGGATGATAATACAATGATAATAACTAATGTCTCCAGTCTCCAGTAGATCCTCTTCCTAAATGCATCTCTCATGAGTCCACCTGAGCTCTCCATCTCTCTCTTGCCCACATACACACACACACACACACACACACACACACACACACACTCTGAACCAGGAGAGGCTCACAGGTGTCTGCATGAGTGACAGCGTGGGCTGTGTTGTCATGGCGATTGGCACGGAGCAGGCGTCCCCTGTGTTCAGGCAGACCTTGGCAGCATTAAATCTTTGTGGCATCTGAAGAGTGCTTGGGCGAGCTGCCATAATCACCCCATCCTCGCTAGCCTTGCAGAAGCTGTTTTGGGTGTTGCGGACTAATAAGAGCGACCTTTCACGCCCAATTAACTACTCAACCACGTATATCTCATTGTTGCTCTGATGACATGCATTTCCATGGCTATAATTAAGTTTTCAAATCAGGGCCTTTGTCTTGTTTTCTCTCCTGCCATGAGCTACACATTGAAATCTCTCTGGAGGGGAGGTTTCATAAATGCACACACACACACACACACACACACACAGTCAGAGAGAAAGAGGGGGGGAGACTGAATGACAGAAAGAGGAAAGAGTGAATGTGACTAATGTCACAGGGATGGAAATGGTAATGGACTGTAGATCGTTAGTGTAAGGTATGTCAGTATGCATGCTAATTTGTAGGCATGGACAGAGGGCTGTGTGTGAGACAGACAGGGCTTCATTGTTTCATCAGTGTGTGTGTGTGTGTGTGTGTGTGTGTGTGTGTGTGTGTGTGTGTGTGTGTGTGTGCGCGCATTTGGCTTGTGGGGGGCAAACAGAGGCTGAATGCCCTGGATCAACAGAGTAGGAGCCACTGCCTCCCATCTGCTCCACCAGGGCACTGTGAGCCCTAATTAATGACATTATAGACTGGCCCACTTTTACCAAGAAGTTCAAAACACACACACACACACACACACACACTTATCCTTGTGAGGACCTTTCACTGACATAATTATTAAAACAGTTAATACTATGCCTAAACCAAACACTTAACATTAACCTCAGTAACCAAAAAGAAATGTTCTGGTTCATTTAAGTTTTTATAAAAGCTGCAGTTTTTGTTAAAAAAAATAAAATAATAAAATGTCCCCACAAGGTCAAAACTGTCAGACATTCCTATACCTACATTTGGTCCCCACCAAAATATGAAATATGCCCACACACATGTTGGTTTTACACTAACATTAACCTCCAAATGAATTCTTTGTCTTTTTTTTTTTTGCTCTATTTTAGTTTGAAAAGCACTTTTCTTAAAAGACACCAGCTAAATGTCCTGACAAGGTCAAACTATGCTGTATGCCTATCATAATTGGGACATTTGGTCTTTTAAAAAGGACACACACACTGCAGCATTTTTTTTATTGTCCTTAACTGCACTCAACAGTGCCCGCACACACACACACGCACACTCAACAGGACCATTTTGAATTAGTGAGAGTGTAATAAAAACAGGGGGCACATGTGAGCAAAGAAAAACGCACACAATGACAAACGCAGGCCGTCAGCCATTTACAACATTCTGTGCAGGTTAATTAGGCCATTTCTCAAACCAGTGGTGGAGAAGAGCCAAGAGAGAGAGAGTATGAGAGAGAGAAAGCAAGAGAGAGAGAGAGAGAGAGAGAGCGAGAGAGAGAGAGAGCAGGAGGGAGGGACAGAAAAGCCATATAATTATGTTTTTTCTGGCCTGTAGCTTTTAAGCTGACATCTATGTGACATGTACGTACGTGCGGACACACACAGATGCACACACTGTCCTTGTCTCTTACAAATTCAGCTACTCTACTCTCCTTCCCATTGTACTGAAGCTCAAGCATGATGTATATTTCATACCCTGTCATCTCTAAAACAATGACTAAAACAAGCACTTCGAAAAACAAAAACCCCTACCGACCTACGCTGATGAGGGAGAACATGTCAAATGAATGCAACCGCACAGCTGTAGGATCGCTCCTTCTTACTGATATGGTTTCTCTCTCTTGTTCGCTCACTTTATTTATTTTCATCTCATTTCACTAGCTGAGATTGGATTGAAAAGCCTGAGGCTGTTTGTGGACATGCAGCTCTACTCAGTAAAATGAACTGGAGACTGTGCATTAACAGTTCAATACAGAGCTAAACAAACTGCCCGTTGTGTCTTTCTCTCTCTTATACAAGTGCACATGTACTTCTCTAGTGTGTGCTTGGAAGCATCTTATCATACTAGGGCATGAACAAGTAAGGTTCCTGCTGACTTTTCATGACAGGTCACTTCACATGCACTATAGGAAACCAGCATTGACGAATGTGAAGATATTTGATGCTAGGGCTACTGTTAACTGCTAATAACTTTGTGTGAACTCAGTTTATTGCAGTTTTGCTCTCCCCTGGATGGCAATGTTAGGATTATATAGGATTATAACTCATAATCCTAGATATTGATAAGGTGAAACCTTAGACATGTTATTTGCTTATTTTATGCTCTTTTTTTATTTTTTATTTTTTTGGGGGTAACCCTCACTCTCACTCACTTTTCATAACCACTTTATCCTGGTCAGGGTCATAGTAGATCAGGAATCTATCCCTATGCAAATGAGAAACATATTCCAGTTTAGAAAAGCCTGTAGTTTTAAATACTATATACATTATATACATTATATATATATATATATATATATATATATATATATATATATATATATATAATGTCAAGATTTCACCATGTGAAGGGTTTTCCCAGGCTGCCACATATTCGTATTAAATTAAAGAAGCAGTCTGTAATATTTAGAGCTCTGTGCTTGCTTGTGAGGTGAATTCCAATTGCAACGCTGACCAGCCTTCTCCTTTCCCTCACCAACCTCTATTGAATATATGCCTTTTGAGGGAAAAAAAAGTGTTGAGTAGCTCTGAACCAGCTGGTGGTGGAGACAAATTCCAGGCCAGAAAAAAAATGTATACCAAAGTCTGAGATAAACAAGTAATTTAATTCCAATGCAAGACAATTAATACAGTTTCTAGTGTTCAACTGTTTAGAAACTATATGATAATACAGGTCTACTAACACTTTTAACAACTACAACCGGCTCCTTTAAGTTCTAAGAGTGCTTTATAAGGTGCTTGTTTTTGTATGTGTATAGTATATGTATATCCTTGTCTTTTTTTAAATGTGATAGACTGACACTGATATCAATAAAGCCACGTTGAACTCTAATTATTTGTGTCTGCTGTAGGGAAGAAAAATGTTGGCACACACACACACACACACACACACACACACACACACACACTGTTCTGATCTTCTGTTCATGCTCCAACTTTTCAACACGGAACCTGCAGACCCAGGGACCAGTGCACATTCAGAGTGGCTGCACTACCGCTTCCAAAATATTTCGCACAAATAGATCACTGAATCTCTTAAGGTATGAACCTGGTGATTATGTACTTTATTTTAAAGCTAACTTGTCTTCTTATGTTCATCCAAATCACTTTACAGCTGCATTCCCTTCATTGTAAACATGTTTCATTGTAGACAGGTAGATGCAGTCTTTCTGAACGAATGAGTGACATGAGGTCACTGCCATGTCCTGTCATTTGTTTTGTTCAGCTGCTGTTGTGGGGCTTTCGAAACTCAAACCACACTACATTTCTACGTATCTACAATCAAATACATGATGATCAAACATAGATTTTACATGGGTTTACATCAGGTTTGTTAGTTTGAGTCAGTGAATTCTTTCGGTCACGACTGAGAATAGCTCCTGCAAAAGATGTTCAAAGGATGAATTGAGTCTGTGATTTCATTGAGTCTTGTTAGAGCTCATTTGGTCAGTGCTCATGCATACAATAGTAATTTGTGTTCGACTTGGTGTGAAAAAAATTACTTTCTATATAAAAGCAGACATACGATATGTTAGAAAATAACACAAAAATATTAATGATTATTAACTGGGTCCCTGGAGGACTAATGGTTAGGCCTCGGCACTCTCACCAGCAGGGCCCGGGTTTGATTCCCGGCCAGGGAACCAACCCCAGCACACGAGAGTGCAGTCCTAGTGCTGGTCCCAAGTCCGGATAAAATTGGGGATGGTTGCATCAGGAAGGGCATCTGGTGCAAAAACTGTGTCAAATCAAATATGCAGCCCAAAGATCTGCTGTGGCGACCCCTAATGGGAGCAGCTGAAAGAACAACGACAGCAATGATTATTAGCTATTTTACATTACTTTAGTTGACTGTTGTCTGCTTTGGATGGCAGCATGATCAAGCTTCACATTTGGCAATGCCAAGCAACTGACCTAAGCGGTGAATGAATCTTAACTGAACAGACTCAAATGACGTGAGTCAGTGAAAAGACACAGAATGTTCACATTTCAATGGATTTAAAACCCTGTTGCTTGTCTACAAAGTCATTTAAAGGACCAGCAATCTACCAAATGCCAATGGTGAAATCCAGCATCGTACCTTGTGCCACAGGCATTAAAACTCTTTTCTGTTCTGGTAGCCAGGTGGTGGAATTAACTCTCCCTCATTCACTTAGCATATTGGTATATTTAGACTTTATTGGATCTGTATTAGCATAAGGAGATGTTTGTTTTCTAAGTAGGAAACCAAACACAGTGAGATGCCATAAACATAGAGTTACGTAATTTTTTTTTTTACAACCTATTGTCATTTAAATGATTCATTTTAGACCATATCTGATAATTACAGAGTGACATACTGTATGTTTCATATGAGAATCACACCTATTTCGATAAGCCAGTATTTCCCATCCCAGTGGTAGAAGGGAGATGCTGGTTGAGCTGAAGCTTAGGCTCACAGCTGGTTTCTGGATCAGTCAAACTCAGCTATCTGATTTTGCCTCCACTCTTTGGGAGCTGAATCAAACACATTCAGCCTGCTTCTAAAGCAGGAGCTTTATGTTTGTTTTCTACAGAAACTCAATTATGGAGATGGAGTTCAACAGATTTTATTGGAGAGGGGACCACAGGAAACATTTCCAGTTGGCCTCAGTTGAACAATAAGGGTGCTCAAAGTTGGTCAGTAAATCAAGCTTTTCTCTTTACCAAACATCAACCTGCTGCAGATCCTATTTCCTATCTCTGTTAGCTTGTCTGAACATTCGCCTTTGTTAAACTAATGAATAATGATTCTTCATTTATGTAATTAAGTATTTACAAAGATTTTCCAGCAAACAGGCTACAAGCTGGGTATGAGTGCCTATTACTGGAGGTTTGGAGCAAACTGAAATGCAAATACTTCCATATTCTCCATATTTCCTATTTCTAACAAATTTATGAGAGAAAGAGAGGATGGAGAAGAAGGATGGCTTTCACAAAGTCATTCTACAGCAGCCATATTTCTCTCCATACCCTTGGAAAACACTCTGTACCTTTATAGAAAACACTAATAATTCACCAGTCTTCACATTTACGACATGAGCACAGTGAGTAAAGCCTGTTTTAGATGTGACTTTCGTCATCAAGCGCAGACATTACATTACAAAGCCCTGAAGTAAATGGTCCAACCTAAAACAGGGAAACTGTCATGTAAATTATGAATAGCTGACGAATTAAAAATAAAACTCTGAAAAATTAATGCAAAAGTTTCACGGTTTAGTAATAATTTATGTCAAGAAATTTCTTATAAAAGTCCACAAAGAGGAAAGAGCATGCGGGTGAGCCCTAGCCAGATGTCTTTATGTCTTGCTGGGTGTAATCAGCGTCATTCATGTTCAGCTAGGCGGTAGTCTGTAGCAAAGAAGACCACTGGCAACACTGAAACACTTGTGGTGGGCAAAAACTCCAAGTGGCCCATCTGTCAGTCCTGTAGGCCTCAGGACAAGCTGTCTCTCATGTATACACACAAAAACACACAGACACAGACACAGACTTCAGTTAATCAAAGAGAGAGACCCCTGAAGGTTACACTATAAAGAGTCACCAGAAGAACTTGCAGTGTGTGTGTATGCGTGTGTGTGAGTGTGTGTGTGTGTGTGTGTAAGTGAGTGAGTTCCCTCGCTTATGGAATGTGAGTATTTAACCTTATTATTTAACCTTAAACTCTAAGTTGTTAAAGTAAATAAGCCACAAAAGAGATCTGATATTCACATGCATTTTAACACAAAGACAACCGCCACCCTTCTATGAAAAGGGAGTGTATTGGTGGAGAGTGTATTTGCCCACAGGTTTATCAGCTGCAGACAGTCCGATTGCCTTTAAGTTGAAAAGGGTGGGGTTGGAATCAGCGAGGCTTGCTGGCAGGCTAAAATCAGTGTGGTGATTGTTGGGAGGTTTTGAGCCTTCATTCAGGCCTGGTCTCTCTGTGGTGTTCTCTCAGACACTAATGCCTAGACTCCCAATGCCATTCAGCTGAAATAAATCCAGCACTACCAGATTTTCCACTCAAGTAGACGTGTAAAGAAATGGTACCCAGGGATGGATGGGACAGGGCCAGTCCTGCTGGGCCAGTCCACACAAACACACACACACACAAAGCCTTATGAATGCCAGTGTTTTCAAACACAAGGAGATGTAGAAGAAAGCGGAGGTTCTGTGTGAGCTAGAGACAAAAGAAGGAACACCTACAGCTGTGGCACAAATTAGGACCTCGGTCACTCTTTACCCAATCTTAGGAGAGACAAGACCTGCACTAACACAAGCACAAAGCCATTTAACCCACCTTTTACATAAGCTCGCAGACAAAAACACAACCCCTTCCTCTCTTTCTCTTTCATTCACACACAATCACATCCTTGAAGACAAAAAAAAAACATGGTCCAGTAATCAAGTGGAAGATTTGTCCCTTTGTTTAAATAAATAGCATCGAAAATCAGTGGAATAAAGGGACTGCGGTTGAAGGTGGGTGGTGGGGAGAGGTTTTTTTTGTCATACAGAGACTACTCATAGACAGAAGCCTAACAGCGTCTTAAAGAATCCATAAATCTCATCTAATCTCCACACCGACGTCTCCTCCACCAGGAGAGTAGAGCCATGGGAAAGTCAAGTCCTGCCTCAATTTAAACTTAGTTCCTTACTTTGTCCCAATTTCTCACCATTACTTTCCCTTTCACTATGAATGAAACTGCAGTGACTATGAGGCAGAAGCCTGTAGAGATTTGAGGATTAATCTGGAGTGCTCACTCTGGGAGTTAGGGTGTGATTAAGAGAGCGGCCGCTGATAGTCTATCGTCACTCCTGCTCTATGCTCTTCTCTCGAACCTCACCCTCATCTTTTTTGCTCCATTCCTTCGTCTTCATCTTTCTCTCTTTTTTAAAATTCCTCACCGTGGCTCACACTCAATGATATTCGAATAGTGCAGGGGAGCCTTGTGAGATTGGAGTCGTGGTGAGGCACTAATCGAAAAACCCAAGTCTCTTTCACTTACTTAAGGTATCTCTCAGCTCTCTCTGGGAAGCAGTTTTGATAAGGACAAACCGTTCACCCCAGCTCTCTGCTGCTCCCTCCGATGATAAACCTGTTTACTTCACTTTCCTGTTCCTTTCTTCGCCCTCATGTAGCTCATCCTCCAAGCCAAACACTAAACCATCTAAACCGTCTTATATACAATACACATGCTAGGCATGGGTAGTACAGTGCTAGTTTTTTTTTAAAATACAGAATATAAAGAATATAAACAGATAAACATAACTGTTTTGCATTGAGCACTGGTAGTTAATGGAGACGATAAATATGTGTAAGAATGGATCCTGGTCTGCTATAGCGCTTAATATCTGTGATTGAGAAAGACAGAAGTCTTAATACAGCAGGCAGTCTTCAATTCACTTCACGTCTACTCCTCACATTGGCATGAAAGGAGAGGAGCTCAAAAGAAGACTTTCTCTTTCACACTCTCTTTTCTCATGGCCCAGAAACCTGTACTGATGAGCTTTAAAAAGACTCTTCGAAATCCTGAACACCAGTATTACTGTTTAAACTAGACATTAACTGCTTCAGCTTGTTATCCACTGAGGTGTATCATTAGCTGTGTGTGTGTGCACCCATTGAGATTACGGACGTTTTTGAAGAACTAAAGATTTCCAGAACTATTCCCTACAAGAACAAGGCATTTATTGGATGAATTCCTGTAACTGCAGGACATGTGACCATAACAGATGTAATGCAAACTGCCGGTGAATGCAAAAAAGGCACAACAAATTTCAGATTGAGGTTGGTATTCTTTATTGCTTTTACATTGTTGAGCAAATATAATGTAAAAATGTAGGTAATTTTTTCAAACTATCTTTACAATGGCATACTTCAAGCCATTTTGCAACCCATTGCTTGCTATGAGTGGTATGCCACTAAAAGCAATCATGATGCCAAAATATTCTACTTAGCTGGTCATGCTGTTCTGACTCTGATATAAAACTTACTTTAATAACTGAAGCTTGCATTTCACCAATCAGTGATGTTAAGTATGGCAAGCTCAGCCATAACAGTTTATGATCTGAAGAAAAATAAGTATTCTGAAGCAGGAACAGAAAAGGGTCCTAAAACTATGGCTGATTCCTCTGGTGAAAACATGCCTAAAGTCCTGAAAGTCCTGGGATCTTGGAAAGGTTACCGCAGATGAAACACAACCACTTGTATGTAAACCTCCGTCCTCAACCCACACTACTTCTTCTTCCTTAGTATAATTGTTTAGATTCAGAGCAAAAGCCAATGATTGTGTTATCCTATTCAAGCCTGTGAGAACTAGGTAATTCTACTGTATACAAAGACTATGCATGTAGGTCTATAGCACTGTGCTTTTACTATAGAAACATACCCTACTGATCCATCTGAGACATACACATACTCACTGTGTCCATCTTCAGTACCCATTAATCACCCTAAACAAAGTTACATATAAAAAAAAAACCTTTAAACTCTAATGCTGAGATGCTGTGTCTCTTTGGCAGAGTCTCATGTCCCAGCATTGTTTCAATCTATGGAACAAAAGAGCAAGCCTGCATCTCCATCGGTGGGGAGATGTGGACAGGTGGAGGACTGCTCACTGGCATAACGAGCATTTGCAATTCA